AAAAAAAAAAACTTTAAATTTTACACCATCATCAGAATGACCTGTAACCATTCACTTTTTTTTCTTTACTATAACTTGTGGACCTACCCATCCTCTGAATAGAGGATCTTCAATGCAGTTTTATCAATATACTGCCTGTTTCTTACCCACATTAATAACAAAAATAGATATGAGTAAATGACCAAACAAGGTGAGGATAAGGCAAATAAGCAAATATAAGACAGAAACTTCTACCCTTATTCAGTCCTATAAAAATAGATTTTAATATTTTGAATGTTTAATTTACTTTCATTTTAAACAGTGTTAGTAAACTCAATAATATAATATAAATCAGATCAAATTCTAAACAGTTATATTAGGGAAAAATTATTCCACAGCATTTCAAATGAAAACAGCAGTCTACATAATTAAGAAGGAGATTTGCGTGAGTATTCTACTTTTTGCCCCAGATTAATTTATTCTGAGTAGGAATCAGTGAATAGTGTATTGACTAAACGAAGTTCTAATACCCTCCCTCTCGCCTATAAATGAAATTGTTTACAAGAGCAATTCTACATTTTGTTGAAATTATATGACTTAATATTTCTGCAACTTATTTGCTACAATAACCTCTGGCAGAGTGTACATACGTTTAAAAATACAAACTTTAATTATAAAGTTTATCAGGGATTTTGCTCTCTCAATTATTTTCTGTACTTCTCCCTCATTACTGGCATCTATTCATTGCATTTAACCATGGTCAAGTGTCTCATTTTCCCAAAAGCAAGACACCTGCTAGGGTCTGAATGTTGGTGTCCTCCCAACATTCTTATGTCAGAACCTAATACCCAGTATGACAGTAATAAAAGGCACTGTCTTTTCGAAGTCATTAAATATTGAAGGCACAATGGGATTAGTGTCTTTATAGAAAAGGATAAAGGACATGTCTCTGCCCCTTTCTGTCATATGAAAATGCAGCAAGGAAGGTACCATCTGTGAGGAACAGGCACTCACTTGACACCAAATCTGCTGGTACCTTAATCTTAGACTCCCCAGTCTCCAGAACATATTATTTATTTATAAGTTATCCTTTCTCTTCTTTCTTTAATAGACATTCTTTCCAAAAGGTTTTCCACACTCACCAGTCCTACCTCCACAACTCCTACTTACTTCAAAGCCATTGTTATTTTGTTTCCACTGAACTTTCTGACTGAAATTGCTCTAGCTAAGGTAAAAAATGAGTCCCTTGTCACTATATCAAGAGGAATTTTTAAGTCCTTATTTTATTTGACCAACAGACATCACTATTGCCAACAGACATCGCTATTGACCCTCCCTCTTTCTAACACTCCCTTCCCAAGGCTTCTAATGATACTATACTCCCTCGATTATCCTCCTACATTTTGTTCATCCTTCTCAGCCCTTCCCCTGCAAGCCTCTTCTTCTCCATTAACCCCTCAACTCTTAGCACTCAGATGTCTGTTCCAAGGCCCTCTTCTCATGTTGCCCTGAATTACTCCCAGGGCTCCAATGGCCATCTCTATGTTAACAGCCTCCAACTAATCTAACTCAGATCTCCCACTCAAGCTTTAGACCCCAAATCCTACCACACAGGTATCTTAAAGGTATCTTAAATTCAACATGTCCCAAATTGAATTCATTATATTTTCTCTCCATTTCTAATAAGTTCTTTCTCTAGTATAACCTATTTCAGTGAACAATCTCTACTAATACAAAGAAAAACAAAATAAAACAAATTCTTGGTTTTTACATGTGTTTGATCAGAAATTAATGTTTTAAAGAATTAAATACATTCAGAGAAATAATTTCAACTTAAAATTCATTCTTATTAACACGCACCATCTGAACATAATGCTGGTAACTGGTAGCACAAACTTTTCCCACCTCCTGTAGGCATAACAAGAAACACCTCCTTTCCAGCCATTGTTACATTAATAGTTTCAAGTTGAAGTGGTCTGAACTTCTGCAATTTAAAGACATTTTGCAGAGCATCTTTGACTTTACCAGACCATGGAAAATCTAGAAAGAGAAAAATAAGCTAAAATATTAGAACTATTAGGTTTATAAATGAGACAAAAATGTAAATGGCTGCTTTTATATAAGAATCAGATAAATATACATAAGACTTTTAATACTTATGAACCATTAAACTTTTATAATAACAATTTTGGAATTACTATAACTCAGTAATCTAAGCAAAGCAAAAACAAATAAGAAGCAGTACAACAGAAAAAAAAACATAAACATGTACCAAGTGAGAATAAAACCATATAGAATGGAAAGTCTTCAACCAGGTATTTTAAAAAATCTTCTGAATGTTGCTCAAGAAATTTACAGCATCATTAAAAAAAAAAAAAAACTCAAATACAGTGAACAAACAACAATTATCTGGACAATTATCTGGAGTTTTTGGTGTAAGTATCTTGTGTTTAGAAGTCAATCAGTAGGAAACAATCTCTACAAAAGTGCTGCAATTCCTTCTAGAGTTATTCTACTATAATTAATAATAAACATGATGCTTCATTCAAGATTTTGAATCAATGGTTTCTTCACCATAGCAGGAAGAAAGACTAAACTTTGGCAAGTGGTATGAGTAACTATTTATTTATTTATTTATTTATTTATTTATTTTCCCTCTCTCTTCTTCTCTCTCCCTTTTAGTTAAAACTTAGAA